GGTCCTGCACGCCCGCGCTGCGCCCAGCGACTCGTGCCATCTAAAGCTAGCGACATCGCCCTCTGTGCCTGAGACCGAGACGGGGACCCATGGCAAGACGGGCAAAGTGGCCCCTGTTTGCACCGCGAAGCTGGGGCGCCAAGGGCCAGCCCGAAGTGGGTGCGCGGCGTGAGCCTGGAGCTAACGCTGAGACTGACTCCGAGTCTGTGGCCTCGGACTGGAGCCCGTCCTGAGCGAGGGCAGGATCGCTGGCAGGCCTCCACGAGAGTCACAAGCCAGCTTACCCACCGGGTTCCCGGGCGTGGTCAGATGGAGAGAGCCAGGCAGGGTAAAAAGCCCAGCTCCTCGCCCCATCTCACAGCCCTACCCTCCCGTGCTTGCTTGGGTGTTGTTTTTGTGTGGTGGAGCGGTGGTGCTACCTAACTCCGCCTGCCCTTCCATCTTGCTACTCACTTTACAAAACTGCTATCACGAGGAGAGAATGGTAGCTCTTCGCTGGAAGTCTAGCACTTGGGAGAGTTGGCGGGAGACTGGGTCCAGGCTAGCCAGAAGCAACATAGCCAGAGCCACACACACACACACACACACACACACACACACACACATTGGGCCCATTATTACATGTAAATTTTGAGAGATTTTTCACTAAACCATGACACTCATTTTTGTAAATTATCTTGTCAGAACCCACTTGAGTAGTGCAAAAGGTAATGTATTGGCCTGCGTAGCTTAAAAGTGCAAGGGTCCTTAACCTAGTGTCTCAAACTACCCAAACAAGAGCTTCAGACTTACACTACATCTCCTTGTTCTTCAGTGGTAGCTGGAATCTCAGGAAGGAAAGTCCTGTGCTTTCACTGTTCCAGCCTGACCAACACACTAGGCAAGAGAACCTCCTTCCTAACTGTTCAGCAAAATTCCCCAAAATGGATCTCACTGTCTGAGATAAGGGGTACAGTCCAAACCAATCACTACTCAAAAGGAAGGATGTATTGCAGTGCTCAGATTAGCTGCTCTGGTCAAGATGAGCTCTTTAGTCAGCCTCACCCCTAGTAGATGCTAAGGGACACCCCTAAATTCTATCTCAGAACTGCTGGGAGTGGTGCCAGCTGATGATTCTAAATAAATGTCTCATCTGTTAAATGTGTGTGTACACGTGCATGCACGCACACACACGTTTCAGGAGCTCCAGATGAGATCATCTTGAAGTTTTTGTTGTTAGTTTGGGGTTTTGTTGTTTGCCTCTGCACATAGTGGGCAAGTACACTCCCACACAGCTACATCCTCAGCCCCCCCCCGCCCCCCCACCCCGAGATCTTTATGGCAACTCTATCTCAGGTCAGCTCTTCCCTCTCCTGATAACCACTACAAGTGCAGATTTTAAGCACATGCACTAGAAAACTTTTAGTATGAGAAAAACCTCCATTTTAAGGACTATTTCTGAGAAACCCAAACTAAGACACTCAAAAATCATGATTGGGGCAAGAGAATATATGGAGGGAGTTCCCAAAGGAAGATCAGGATGCTGCTACCAAAACGGGGAAAGTGGTAGTTTTTAAGGAGGTAATATTTAAAACTACCCTTAGCTATCTGTCCCCAAAAAGGGGGAATCACAATAAATACATGTGAAATCCAGAACTTATGAGAACTTATGAAAACCTTTACTCAAACTGGAAAACCTAGTAGAAATGGGTGCATTCCTAGATAATCTCAACCTATCAAAATTGAGCCAAGAGCATGTAAGTTATTTATACTGATCTACAAACAAGTGCTGAGATTGCAATTAAAGAAATCTCCCAACAAAGAAAATCCCAAGACCCAATGGATTCTTAGCTGAATTCTACAAGATCTTTAAAAGAACACCGGTACTCCTCAAACTTTTCTACAAAATAAAAAGGGAAGCCATCATTACTAAACTCATTCTATGAAGCCAAGTCCCAAAACCAGAGACAGACAGACACACAGACACAAAGGGAATTATAGGCAAATCTCTTTGATGAACATAAATGAAAAAGTCTTGAATAAAATACTTGGTAACCAAATTGAACTAATAAAAAAAAGCTATACTGGTTTCATCCCAGGCATGCAAGATTATCTATAAATCGATACTAATATAGTATATAAACAGAATCAAGGACAGAAATCGCATGATTATCTAGATGCAGAAAAAGCCTTTGATAAAATCCAACATCTTTTTTATGATAAAGCATCTGTAAAAGCCAGGAATAGGATTGTTTTCAACAGGTACTTTTTCCTGTTAACTCATCCAAGTTGATTACAAGTGGAGTTTTATTTAAAATAAATAACATTTCTGGCCTGCAGGCAATTACCCACCTAAAACCTGTGTAACTTAGGTTCAGATTATAGTTCTGATTATCTAAAAAGATCCCATCATCTTACAGAGATGAAAGCCGGAAAAGTAATTAGGTTAATAGGTTATTATATTTGGCCTTATCCCATAATTAAATATGGACTATCACATTTTGCTAATAAGATTAACTATACTTCGTATACACAGGTGTTTGTAACATTTGTCTGCCTCAATGCACAAGTATAACTAGACAGTGACTGTTTTATTTAATATCACACAATAGCTACCGCTGTTCATACCAATGTCTTATAAAGTAAATTCTTCCTAATTTCTATAGAGCTTTTAGTGAGTGGCCAAGAGTCTGGTTCTTATACTAGTTGTGTGTTATGTGAGCACAACTGGCTTCTACTTAAACAAAAATAAAGTTAATGTCCCCTTAGTCTCTCTCTCACACACATGAATCTCAAAGGGAACAAGTGATTTTTCTAGACAAATTTAATAGCACTAAAATAATTAAACGTCTAATTGTAACTATTTTTTAATGTTAACATTAAAAAAAATCTTTTGTACTAATTTTACTGCTTAAGATTCCAGGCAGGGCAGGGCACTGGTGGGTGGGCTGAGACCTAGGGTATCTGCGTTTAAAGTCAATTAGGGCAAGAAAGTCTGAGAAATGGCTAATTTTGAGGTATGGGTCAAGTGGTAGAGTTTCAACCATATGCATAAAAGCCGAACAAACATGCAAGGCCAATAGTTTAAGTCCTAATACTTGCTTGCACCAAAAAAAAAAAAAAATCCAGGCAGGATATCTAATAGGCTTATGAAACTACAACTCATAATCTATAGAACTAGAATTCATTAGGAAGTAAGACCACTGCAGAACGATAGTAGTATGATATCTTATAACACAGGACAAGGATATAACCCTAAGGGTAACTTTGGGACCTCAGTTACAGAACAGGTGGTGAGTAGAGGCAGTAACACTATCCACCCATGAGTACCGATCTTTCCAAACTGATGTGATGACAAGGCAGCACAAGAAACATTTCCTAGAGGAGCCCCAGCACCTGGTAGAGTCCTGGGGTTCTCTACCCAGGATTCTTCTCCAGATGTTTCTAAAATTGGAGGCTTGGGCTTTTGTTTGGGGGACTGTATAGTGCCAATAAAAATACTAAATACTTGACAAACACTTGTGACAAGTTAGTCCAAAAATAAGTGTTTTTTAAATTGGGCATTTGTTAGAAATAGAAATTTTAGCCTAAAAAAACCATTCTAAAAAAAGTAATGAATGCAACTGGATGCAGCCTGTAAGCCTAGCTACTCAGGAGGCTGAGATCTGAAGATCATGGTTCAAATCCAGCAGGAAAGTCCATGAGACTCGTATCTCCAATTGACCACAAGAAAACCAGAAGTGGCGCTGTGGCTCAGTGGTAAAGCACTAGCCTTCAACAAAAAGGCTCAGGGACAACACCCAGGCCCCAAGTTCAAGCCCCACAACCAACAACAACAAAGAATGGATGCATAATACATTTCACTTAAGTTTACAAAAATGAAAATAATTATAATACTTCAGGATTTTAGAACTGTAAAAAAAGAACTCTAACAATAATTCAGTGAAATCATATCACTGTTTTACAACTGAGGCAATGGAAACTGTCATTCACAGGTTAAATAACTGGTCTCAGGTCTGGTTAAATTAGAAAGGATTGAACTCTGCAGAGATCACATACTTGAACTGAGCCTTTTAATTTTTATTCTTTGACAGTTACTGGGGTTTGAACTCAGGGCCTCATACTTGCTAGGCAAGTGCTCTACTGCTGAGCCATGCCTCTAGCCTTATTTGCTCTAATTTGTTTCATATTGGGTTTAGCTCTTTTTGTCCAAGGCCAGTCTTGGATCTTAGTAGCCTAGGACTCAGTGTGTGTGTGTGTGTGTGTGTGTGTGTGTGTGTGTGTGTGTGTGTGTGTGTGTGTGTGTGTGTGTGTGTGTGTGTGTGTGTGATGTCTAGCCTAGGACTCAGTGTGTGTGTGTGTGTCATGTCTAGCCTAGGACTCAGTGTGTGTGTGTGTGTGTGTGTGTTTTGGTCATGGGGCTTGAACCCTGGGCCTGAGCTCTTCAGCTCAGGGCAAGCGCTCCACCACTTGAGCTACAGCACCACTTCCTGTTTTCTGGTGGTTAATTGTAGATAAGAGTCTCACAGACGTTCCTGCCCAGGCTGGCTTTGAACCATGATCTTCAGATCTCAGCCTTCTGAGTAGCTAGGATTAAAGGCATTAGACACCGGTGCCCAGCTAGGACTCAGCATTTTAAAGAAATTGTTTACTCTAGAAACAGCCTACATATCTGCTGTGCTTCACCAATCTTTTAAAATTATGTAATATAAAAGCAATATTTTAATATCTCAAATGCCATACCAACCAACATGACATATTACAACCATTTTATTAACATGAAACAGTAGGAATACTGATTCACTACCATGAAGGATTATTAATATTCGGGTGCCATACCATGTTTGATTCAGTCAAAATGTTTCATTTGCTTTTCCACAGTATAAAAAACATTTATATATTTCAGTGGGTGAGAGAACAGCACACAGACATGCATATTTTCTTCCTAGTTTCAATGCATGTAAATGCTCTCGTGTACAATGGAATTTTCACCACTTAAGAACTTTGTAGAACAACTCCCCAGTATCCTTTTTCTCTTCTTGTGAGAGGATTAAAAAAAAAAAGACCAATCCTATGGTATGAATGATTGTTTCTATAAGTTTCCCTTCTGTAGAAATTTTGCACGTAGTTTTAGTCCTATAAATGAGACTGTAATGAGATCATCCTACAAGGACACAGGGTAGACACTCTCGCGGAGAGCCTCAGGTCCTGGCACACACACTGAGATGATGGCGCAGTAAGAGAGCACAAGCCCTAGCAGAGGACTCTCCTAGAGAGGCTGTTGTAAACATATTCAATCCTACAGTGACTCATTATGAAGACAACATGACTGTTGAAAACTTCTGCTAAAGAAATGTGTCCAGAAAGACACAATAATATAATTAAACGCTGTTATGTGAAAAGAGGCCACTAAAGCAGAAAAATGTATGACAAATAAGGGGACACTCATATTAAAGAATAAACACAATACACAAAATATTTAAATGGTATCTAATAAATTTTCATGTCAAAAATTTTAACTAAACATAAAAAATTTTAATGGCAACTAATAAATTCTCATGTCAAATCTTTTAACAAATTCACAAAGATTATAAAAATTGAACCATCATAAATGTCTTAGGTCTAAAGTTTGAAGGGAAGGTTGAAACTTCTACATTATTCTGTTTAATCAAATATTTGGCAGATTTCGGTTACTACTGAGGAACAGGTGACATATTTGTTATGGAAAGCACATCACAATGAAGGTGGGCAGGTGCTGGCTGTTGGCTTCTGGTCGTCTTCAGTCATCCACAAATGTGAGCCTCCCAGGGCCTTCATTCTTCATCCATCTCCTGTATCTCTTCCATCGAGGGTCATTTGCCAATTTTTTCTTTAATTCTTCCTCTTGTTCTTGTTTGTACACCTGTAAGTTTAAGTAACAGTAAATGGCTTTACAAGGCAAAGAGAGACACCTGCCATTAGTTTTACGGCATTTTTATATTTTTCAAATACAACATTAGGTAAAGTTTCCAACAACTGTACTGACTTGTGTACAGAAGATAGTCATTGAAAAATAATAACCATTGCAACATTCAGTGTCTTGAATAAAAAAAGAACAACTTGTACAAGAATACTTTTTTTTCTTTGAGATAGTCTCTCTAGGTAGCCCTGAGCTTCCAAATCCTAATCCTTCTGCCTCGGTCTCCTGAGTGCTACTGATGTGTGCCACTGTGCCTGGCTTGAAGTAGCACTTTTTTTGTTACCCATTTCTGTTAACTAAAGAATACATTCTTTACCTCATTGAAATCATGCATAAGCTCAGTTTAAATAGCCTAACAATGCCTCTTTACAACTCTACAATTAATGTCCAAAATTAAAGAATCAACACTTTAATTCTTATAAAACAGTACACTATAAATTTAACTCACTCTCAAATTTGTGGGACGTTAATCTAGAAACAAACTGATTTTAAAGATATACATTTGGGGCTGGGAAGATGGCTCAGTGGTAGAGCGCTTGCCTTGCATGCCTGAGGCCCTGGGTTCGATTCCTTAGCACCACATAAGCAAAATGAAAAAAGCCGGAAGTGGCACTATGGCTGAGCTGAAGAGCTAAGGGACAGCGCCCAGGCCCAGAGTTCAGGCCCCACGACCGGACCCAAAAAAAAAAAAGATATACATTTGCCTCCAAAGTGAATCAGTATCTATTTTTTTAAAAAGCAAAAACAAAAAAACACAAAAAACAGTAACTGGGTTTGAACTCAAGAGCCTCATACTTGCTCAGATAAGTTGCTTCTAACTGATGCTCTATCACTTGAGTTATGCCTCTATCCAGTTATTTTGGAGATGCTATTTCTCAATGGTATTTCTGTCCAGGCTAGTTTCAAACTACAATGTTCCAGGCCTCAAACTCTTGAATGGCTAGGATTACAGGCCTAAGCCACCCATGCCTGGCTCTATATCTGCTTTTATCTTCAAATATAATTGTTTGAAGTGAAAGAAGGGGTGACATTGTCTAAAAAGAAATGTACTCATTACCTGACTTATGAAATGGTAATCCTTCTGTATATCATATTTATAATAACAATAAAAATATACATAATTGTTGGTTTTTCTTTTTCTTTTTTTCAATACTGGGGAATGAACCCAGAGCCTCCAATATGTGAGGCAAAACTCTACCATTTGGGTCAAACTACCAGTTCTTCAGAGTTTTCAAACCTTGCCTGGGTTGGTCTCAAACCCTCAATGCTCCTTTCTTCATCTACTGAGTGGCTGGGATTACAAGTGTGGCACCACCAGAACCACCTCAAAAAAAGTTTTTTAATCCAAGTTTCCAAAGAATGCTATATAAATTACACAGGTTAAAAACAAAGAACATCAGTATTTCTATAATTTTTAGTGGTTATCAATTGAAGCTATATGGTCAAGCATTCAAAGCCAATCTCATAGCAATATCATCTGTCATAAAGATATATTACTTGTACATATTAGGAATTAATGGCCCATACAGAATATAGTAATTCATATAACTGATAATCTCATATATGATAATTTAGCCCCACACAGCAATCTATAATGTAGTTTTTTGGGTTTTTTGGTTGGTTGTGGGGCTTGAGCTCTGGGCATAGACGCTGTCCCTGAGCTCTTCAGCTGAAGGCTAACACTCTACCACTTGAGCCACAGCACCACTTCCGGTTTTCTGGTGGTTAACTGTAGATAAGTGTCTCACCGACTTTGCTGCCAGGCTGGCTTCAAACTGTGATCCTCAGATCTCAGCCTCCTGATTAGCTAGGATTACAGGCAAGAGCCACCAGCACCCGGCTATAATGTAGTTTTAAAGGAGAAAACTTTTCAAATAGTTTACTACCCATATTTACATTATTTATAAACAGGCTGAATATATTTATTTGCCAAAAATCAGCCCATTTATGTTAATTTATTTAAATATACCTTGGACCAAAAGACCACTTTCAACCAAATCTATTTAAGACATTATATATAAAAAAGTAACTATGAATTTTTTTTTAAGCCATATACCAGTAGCTCATGGCTATAATCCTAGCTACTCAGGAGACTGAGAACTTGCTTCCGTAGAAAAGCAGTGAAACTCCATCTCTAATTAACTAGCAAAATGCCAGACTAGAACCTTGGCTCAAATGATAGAGCACCAGCTACCAGAGAACGGGCTGAGAAAGTGAAAGTATAATGCCCCAAATTCAAGCCCCTATACCAGCACCAAAAAGAAAAAAAAAAAGAGAAAAAACATCATCTTTCAAATTTTTCAAGCTTTTAGTATGTTCTATTCTTGTATCTAATATTATAATTCCTCGTATTTGATATGTTTCAGAACCTGGAACAGCATTATCATGATGAGACTGCAAGTCACTCTAATGCTGTGGGTAGGTAATTTAATCCCTTCAAAATAGTTTCTACAGTTGACAGTTATAAAATGAAGCATTTAATAAAATGCTCCAAGTTTAAAGGCATTGCAGAATGTCAATTAAATTTAAAAGTAAAGTAAAACTTTCTAGGCATAGAATATTTTATAGAACATTCTGTGCTCCATTATTTTGAAACAGTTATTTCAAAGTACCCCATCTCTTATTCTCTTCCTTCCTCCTTCTTTTCAATTAATCAATCTCTGTGGCTAGGTTTCATCACTGGAAGCAAACCTGGGACAGACATTTAGCACAATGTGAAGTTGTTTGAGCACCCTTGCAAACACATTGTTCCAGTTTCTATTGTTCCATGCAACAAATGAGACTAAGAATTAGTTGAATCAGAGAATTTTAAAGACAAATAATAACATCCAGCAGAATCGAAACTCACCTCATAATTCTCCTTTATCCAGAGCTCCCGTTTAAGAAAAGTTTCTTTCTGATGATCTTCTAGGCTATCAAACTGGGATTGTGACATCTTCATAGACTTACGAATGATGTATAGTCTCTCTTCCTCCCCATATTCTTTGCCTTTGATGTTAAAATTATAGATCCACCGGCAATACCAAGCTATGTATGAGCACAGGTGAAAGGGAGCCAAGAGGATTTGAAACAGCAGCAGATCTCGTATTTGAGGTTTCTGGTAGCCTCCTTTTATATCTATTTTACTTTTTATAATGTTCTTTATGATGTTCTCCTCCTCATCACGAACTTCCTCTTTGGACTTCTTGTTTCTGCCTTTTTCTTTGGCTTTTTTGAGCAGTCCCTGCTGCTTGGCGATCTCTGTTGCCTGGATTCGGTATTTGGGCACTGTGGCTAAGTAGCTGATTGCTTTATTGTAGCTATTCCACCAGCTGAAGTACTAGAATATTAAACAAAGAAAAATGGACCCGATTTAGTACCAAAATTCACCTAAGCTGAAAGAGTAATAGAGACTCTATAAATACAAGCACCCAGGAAACCCACACTGATTTTTGAAAAAGGAACCCAGCCAGGCCTGGTAGGGCACACCTATGGTCTAAGCCCTCAGGAATCGGACACAAGAGGATGGAGAACTGAAGGTCAGCCCCGGCTAAACTGCAAGATCAAATCTCAAAATAACAACAAAAAAGAAAATAGCAATAATAGTAACAAATCTCAAAGATTTTACTTAAGTAGTAAAAGATCTGTCTCCATTCTCCCTTGAACTACAACCTACTTATAAGAGGAAGAATTCAATGGCAAAACTATTTGGTGAGAAATTATTGTAAAAATTCACAGGATATAAACTTGGGCAACTTTATTACTTTTTTTTCTTTCTGTGCCAATCCTAGGGCTTGAACTCAGGGCCTGAGCACTGTCCTTAAACTTTTTTATGCTCAAGACTACCAACCTATCACTTGAGTCACAGCTCTACTTTTGGCTTTTCTGGTGGCTGACTGGAGGTAAGAGTCTTACAGACTTTCCAGTCCTGGCTGGCTTTGAGCTGAGCCACCAGCACCTGGCAATGATTCATTTTTATTCTTTACCTAGTCATATACTACAATAATCTACTATTTGGGACTTGAAGTATGTTTATTTAAACAAGAAAGCATTAACTTTATATTCAACCACGTAAAGGTTTTTATTGTCAGAAAATGTCTAGCTCCTCACACTTTTTTACCTCATACATTTCAGTTCCTATTTCACTGGATGACACCAGCAGTTATACTATCGGTACACTGAAAAATCATAGCAAATGTATTAGAAAGAGAGAAACAGAAGATACTAGGATATTTCACTGTCTAAAACAACAATGTCTAAATATCTCTGTTCTCCCCTTCAAAGGACAGCATTTCCACAAAGCTGATCCATTTAAAATACACCACCCTACTCTCCAAGGGGAATTCTCTTGCTACAGAAATTAAGCATCAATTCTGGGAATTAATCTTAAGTAATTGTTGCAAACAGCTTGTTCTAGTCACTTGTTCTTTCCCTCTAAAGGAGCAACATGTGAGGTGCAGTTAGTTTAAGCACATAACTCAAGGGAAAACTCATGCAGGCTGAAGTTTCTGTGCTCACACCTATAATCCTAGCTACTCAGGAGGCTGAGATCTGAGGATCACAGTTCAAAACCAGCCTGGACAGGAAAGTCCGTGAGACTCTTATCTCCAATAAACCACTAGAAAACTGGAAGTGGCACTGTGGCTCAAGCCGTAGAGTGCTCGCGTTGAGCTGGAGAGCACAGGGACAGAGCCCAAGCCCAGAGTTCAAGCCCCACAACAACAACAAAAAAAAAAAAAACACATAAAAATTCCATCTATCTCAGTGGTTTTCACCCTAAGCAGCATCTCTCAAGGCTTGCAGTAATCATTACAAGGGTGGTAATTACCACTTGCATTAGTGGATAAGAGCCAGGCCATATTAAGGAGTTCCTCCTTTTCTCAAGTTTGTAAGACATAAACTGAAAAATTTTTTTAAAGTAAATGATGTCACCTGACTGTCACAAGACAGACACCATAGAAGGATCCTGAGAAAGGACAGAAATAGCTATGTAATGATGGTCATCAGTTTTTCTCACCGACAAGGATTCCAAGACTGCCAGCCAGTTGCTAGGATAAGTGGATATTTTTCTACTACTAAGAAAAAAATTAATCTCAAATGAAAGTAGAATGTTACAAAAACATACTTGTGTAGCTTCAATGTGTAACATAGGCAATGTGTACATGTTTATACATGGAAATACACACCTGAAACATTGAAACAGCACACACACTGACCAAAATCACTACTCTAACATCCACTTTAGGGGCTAAGCGCCTGCTATAGTAGTGGTAGTAATGGCTGTAGTATTCTTCTGGATGATCCAGCATGTAGTCGTAATCTTTTCGAGTTTCCTCATCCTGAAAAAAAAAAATCACAGCATATCATTAAATGGTCTCAGTATATAGTTTGTCGTCAAATCTAAAATCTTCTAATTATAAAAATTTTTCTGACTAAAATAATTATAATTGTCACAATCAAAAAATTTCCCAATTCTCTTCTTCAAAGGCAGATATAAGCTGTTTCTAGGACTTTAATTCTTGAGTAGTAGACTTCCTAGAAATACTTTAAACATTAGTCATGCATTATTTTTGCTAGTACTCCAGTTCTAGAATAGTGCCATGTTCCTTCTGTTTAAGAGCATGTTGATAACCTTCCTGACAACTGTTTATTTCATGTATGTGTGTGTATGTATGTGTATATATATATATATATATATATATCATATGTATATATCCCCTAAGTCAGGTTCCAGCCTTGTGCAGAAAGCTTTGTTGAAAGCAATGATTAGACAGCAAAAAGTAGCTAAATCAGTCTCATCTTAAAAGAAACTCTGAGAAATTAGTATAGTATAATAATCAAAGTCTAGCTTGGTGATCTTGTGCAAAACAGTAAGCATCTCTGAGCTTCATTCTTCCTTTGCAAAAACAGGTAGAACTAGCAGGGTGCCAGTGGCTCATGCCTGCAATACTAGCTCCTAGAGGGGGAGGAGGGGAGAGATGGGCGGGAGGGAAGATGGGCTAAGACCTGATGAGTCACAGTTCAAAGACAGGTAGGCCAGAAGTCTTCAAGACTCCAATTATCCAACAAAAGTGCCAGACTGGAGGTGTGGCTCAAGCAATAGAGTGCCAATTGTGAGCCAAATAAGTATGAAGCCCTGAGTTCAAGTCCCTGTACAAGTACAATAAAGTGGTAATTACTACCTGCCCTAATATGTTTACATGGTTGTTTTGCATACCGAATGGCATACATTGTACAAAAACATGTCACAAATATATAGTACTTAACCATTATAATACAGTGCCATAACCCAGTTCATAAATAAGATAACTCTTCTTACTCATATCAACTTTGTAGAAAGAAAGCATTCTGAAATGCTGCTTGGAATGTTCACAAATAAAATAGTTCTTAAGATTTTCCTACTTCTAATCAATTTCTAACAGGAATAAATAAAAATGTGACCTAAATTGAGAATCTACTATAATATGTTATGAACCTTTTTTTTAACTTGCTTAATTTCACAAAATTGTTAAAAGACCAAAACAAGTTTTTCCCCTCTATATACAAGTGCAATAGAAACCATTACAGAAAACAACATCTTCTTTAACTTAGAGCACTTCTTTCTAGGTCCAACTATTTAGTCTTCATAAAGTTGAGCTAAAGACACTTCAAACTCTAACCTAGTGGCTTGCTAGTCTAGACAGATGCTCTAGGGTGTGAGGGCCTCCTATGTACCCCATCATGAGTAAGTTCAAAATAAGAAATTTACCAATGATAGAAATCTTCCCTGTCTTAATTAAAACCACCATGTATATTCTAGTAAGAATTCTGAACTTGAGGTGTCAGTAAAGTTATCCTAGATTCACTAGATTGAGACATTTTTACCTCTCACAGCATATGAAATTAGGTAAACTGGTTATTTACATATATATATAGATAGATAGATAGATAGATGGATTATTTTACAGAAGACCAGTGTAAGGACTGTCTGTTAAGCAAGGAGGAAGAAGCCCAGGTTGAACAGTGTCGAATCCACTCCTTGTAGGTTCTCTTTTTTCAGAAACTGTGGCCATTGCCATATACTCCAACTATCAACCACTGTTCTTCCTGAAGCTGTCCTCACATTTCAGCTAAAAGGGGAAGTCTACTGCGGTCTCACAGGGTCCTGAGGAATAAAGCCCACCTCTTTAAGTGTCTCATTTTTAGTATTTAGACATTCTTTCAAAATCTTTCCATTCCCCACACTCTTTTTCCTTTTGGGGGCTTAATTTTATAGAAATGTCCTGCTTTTAAATTTTTGATCCTTTCATTCTTGGCATATGCCTTTGAAATATATTTCTTCAAACATGATTCTTCTTGTTCTAACAAGATTATATGTAATTTTTTTGCCCTTGTGCTGAGATATGAACTCATGGCCTCACACTTCAGCTTGCTTCCTTGGTTGGCACTCTACTACTTGAGCCACACTTCTAGCCTTGCTTTTTGCTGATTATCTTTTAGAAACAGGACTGGCTATGAACCAATATCCTCTGGATTTCAACCCGAGAAGATGGGGTTGCAGGAGAACCACATATAATTCTGAAACCAAACGCCATACCGAAACCAGATAACTACAAGTACCCAACATCACTTCTTTCGGAGACCTATATCTAGCATGGTTGACTGTGCTCCTCCGAGTGAAGTATACATCAAGACCTTTAGGTGTCATGGAAACCTGTAAGTTGGGGGCCACCTGTTCCATGGCTAGCCGTAGGATGTGCATGTTACTGTCCCTAAAGTATTTCACCCAGATCTTCCTCCAGTGTCACCATCTTCTCACTGTTGCCAGATTTGTGACTTCGCCAAGCATGAAGTCCTCTAAGTGGGTAGTCAGCTAATGCTCTGAACAGCAGCAACTGGCTGTCTTCTCCACTGTTAGCAGAGCCTGAGGCTTCTACCAGAGCCCCTTAGAAAGTCCTCAAGCTCACCTTAACACTGAAGGACACAAGGCATCTAACTTCTCCCAGGATGATTTCGTTTCCAGGGATCACCATAAACTTGTGATCCTGATTTGTTCATTAGAGACTAGAAAGTTGGTTACCTCCTTGTTATTATAGCATATATTCAATTTACTGAATTTTCACTGTTTTCTCTCCAGAATGAAGAAACTGATCTTAGGCTAAAGCAATCATGCAATTCAATATGTATTCAACATTGGCATAATGTAGTAAAAGGAGTGTTCAACAGCTTTAGGTTAAAATCCTATTTTTAGTATCCTATAAGGTTTAGAACACAAGAATATTAGGCCTCTTCCCCCCCCAAAAAAAAAAGAGATTAAGAAGGACCATCTTTCATTTTAGACACAACCAGAGAGCTTAAGGTACATTTTTATTTATAACACCATGTATTTTTTTTCCTCTTACTCAGAATTAAGGTAGCCCAAGAAGTATCTATGTGTAGGTGTAGGTGTAGGTGGTGTAGGTGGTGGTGGTGTAGGTGGTGGGTGTGGTGGTGGTGGTGGTGGTGTGTGCGTGCGTGCGTGTGTGTGTGTTTTAATCTCCAAGGCTTCCTTGTGGCTAAAGTTAAATTTTCTCTTGACATGCACAAAGGCCTGTACAGCTGAACCAAAAATACCTTTCTAGATTGCTAGATCTACACTTATCACTCACCCCATTTTTACTGCACTCAACATCCAAAGACCATTTCTGTCATTTGGTGTGTTTTCTTTTTCTTATTTTTTTGTTGGTTGTGGGGCTTGAACTCTGGGCCTGGGCACTGTCCCTCAGCAATTAAGCTCAAGACGAGCACTCTGCCGCTTGAGCCACAGTGCCACTTCTGGTTTTCTAGTGGTTTATTGGAGATAAGAGTCTCACAGACTTTCCTGGCAGGGCTGGCTTTGAACTATGATCCTCAGATCTCAGCCTCCTGAGTAGCTAGGATTACAGGCGTGTGCCACCGGTGCCCGGCTTGTGATTCTTTCTAACTTAAAGCCAACCTTTCTTCTAACTTCAAGAGCTACTAAAGAATATAAATGTTTCTGCCTCAGATAGACTTTTGTGGCCCTAGGAATAGAACCCTTAGCCTTGTACATGCTAGGCAAGTGCTTTACTACTTAACCCTACCCCCTGCTTTTGGAACACTTTTATTACACTTAGTAGCTATTTACTATAGCACTTATCACATTGTAACCATAGAATTTTTTGGTTTTCTTTTTGCTTTTACTTTAGTATAAATTTCTAGAAAGTAGATAAGGTGATTCATTAATCTCTGTACATCCAGGGCCTGAACACAGTGCTTGGCATCAAGTAAATGTCATTTCAAAAATAAGTAGAATTTGTAAAGATTTTGCCTAACTATCTCTCCAGTCACACTGGTGTCCAGCTCACCGACAAGGCTGGACGGGGTTGTGATTATGTCACAAAAACTTCAGCTTCACAAAAATGACTGCTTGAATTCATAGCTTATAAAAATACACTAATGTGGCTAAAATATCTTAAACCTTAAAACAGCTTAATATCTTACCTTTCAATAAGGTAGTACTTTCTCTTTCAGCAATAGTGTGGATCTTAAGGTCCCAGGGTGAGGAGTTCCAACTTCTTGCCAAAATCAAAACCTTTATACTTGTTTCTTCCTCCTCTCTGTCCTGAGCCTTGACAAGCAGGGCAATTAATTCCTTGACTCTAATCTCTACAGGAATAAATGGTGCTTCTGCTGGTGTCCATCCACTCCCAATCCTCTTGGGCATATGCAGGAGGACTGGAACAAACCACCAAAATCTAGATCAAAAGTGAACAAGAGGAAACCCACAAGCAAAGACAGCACTGAACCCTTCCTTCTCTTTGGAAAATGACCCCTCCCCAGAGGAAGGAGCACTACATTCTTGCCCATGAAGGAGCAGTGCATTGTCTCAGCTCAAAAGTGTAAGTGGCAATAGTATGATTTTACAGCAAGTTTTACATAAAATTTTTCTATTACACAGAATGCAGAAACCATTTTTGGATAGTTAAGTCCAGGAATCAAATAATAAATGAAAATTTAATCATATTTTAAGCACGTACACACACACACACAAAATGCTTTTCTTACTTTTTCTAGGCCATTACATCTACCAGAGAGGAAGAAAATGAACTGCTAACTGTTCTACTTCCTTTCTTATTCTCTGCCCACCAGTCACTAGTGCAACTACTTTTTCCTTCTACAAAGTCTCAACAACTTTCATGGTTTGGATTATAACCTAAATACTAGTGGCACAGCTATTCTTCCTGCCTCCTCCTCCTTTCAACTACATCCTGAACAGTTTCTAAATGTAGCATAAACATCTCCAGTTCGACATGCTCAAAAACTAAGTTGGCTCCTCAGTGTTTCTGTTAATTGCATCACT